ACTGTTAACCTGGCCAATCAGGGAGCCCTGGCTGACAGATATAAATAGGTGATTTAGAATCTCCTCAGTTCAGGGGGCTGATTCCGAGCTGGCTGGCTATAGCTAGTGTACTGTGCACATGTAAATAAAGGCCAACTTGGTGACGACATACTATGGAGTTATTTCAGGAACAAAAACAGAAATTGCTAGAGAAATTCAGGTGGCCTGGCAGCAGTCATGGAAAGAGAAAGAGAGTTAATGTTTCAAGTCCAGTGACCTTTCTTCAGAACTAGCTTTAGCTTTGAATGAGAGGTTGGCAGCAGGAGTGAATCTGATTATTAATCCGGCCTGTAATAAAGCTCTGGAGATATTGGAAACCAACTTTTTTTTATTCATTCATGGGATGAGGGCATCTCTGGCTAGGCCAGCATTTATTACCCATCCCTAATTGCCCAGAGGGCAGTTAAGAGTCAATCACATTACTCAGGGCCTGGAGTCACATGTCAGCCAGACCAGATAAGGATAGCAGTTTCCTTCCCTAAAGGACATTAGTGAACCAGATGGGTTTTTCCTGACAATTGACAATGGATTCATAGTCTTCATTAGACTCTTAATTCCAGCTATTTATTGAATTCAAATTCCACCTTCTGCTGTGGCAGGATTTGAACCCTGGAACATTATCTGGGTCTTTGGATTAACAGTCCAGCGATAATATCACTAGGCCATTGCCAATCACAAACTTTTACAATTTTTATTTGAACCCCATTACATCGAAACTCAGTTGAATTCAATCAAAGTGAACAAACAATGTTGTTAAAATATTACATTTTGGAATTGCTCATAAAAACTCTGAAGGAACATAGATCAAGATTTAAGAATGGTTGGTGGACCAATATATTCCAATAAACTGCAAAACAAGGGAATTTTATGTTCTAGAAACAGAAATTGCTGGGGAAATTCAACAGGTCTGGCAGCATCAGTGGGGAGAGAAACAGTTAACATTTTCAGTCCAGTGATGCTTCTTCCCGCAGTTTCTCCAGCAGTTTTTGATTTTGTTTCTAAAGTACAACATTTCTTTGTTTTGCAGTTTTTAAGAATAGATTTCACATTTAAAGCAGGATTTATAAAATCTGATAAAGCAAAGAAGGGCGGATGCTGAAGATCTGAAGCAAAAACAGAAATTGCTGGGCTAACTCAGCATTTAAAATTGCTGGAGAAACTCAGCAGGTCTGGCATTACTATTTCTTCACTGTTGAGTTTCTGCAGCAACTTCTGCTTTTGTTTCAGATCTTCAGCATCCGCAGTTCATTGTTTTATTAGATTTTAGAAATCCTGCTTTAAGTGCAAAACTAAAGATGGAGGCACTTAGGAATATTCTGATCACCACTAGTTACATGTATTTGATATTTCAGTAATGATACTAATAGATCTAACTGACAACTGATACAAACATAGAATTAATCCAAGGAGGAAGTCTCCATGTTCCCTCGATTATTAAGCCTAGGGGAAATTGCAAAACCCAAACAGAGTGAATGAATGAGGAAGAGATAGCAAGAACAGTGGATGTTGGAGTCCCGACCCAAAACGTCAACTTTCCTGTTTCTCTGATGCTGCCTGGCCTGCTGTGTTCCTCCAACTCCACACTGTGTTGAATGAATGAGGAAGATGCTTAGGTTTTGAACAAAGGAGTTGTTTCTGTATGGACTACCCAAGCTGTGCCATATTTTCATCTGGGTGCCGAAACTATATCTTGTTGCACATTTCCAAACTATCCCTTTTTAAACTGTCTTTTGTAGAAAAAAAAATTTATGTTTAGAAATGAGGCAGGCTAACTATTCTACAAATGAATTAGTCCAAGTCAGCATTCATTTTAAGTTATAGAAGAGATATAATTGCAAGAGGTTGCTTATTCAAATGTAGTCATTTTTAGTTAAGAAGATGCTCAGATTTACCTGTTTAACTACCACAAGTGACAAAAAGCTTTTGTCTTTTTAATGGAGCACGCTTGTTTGCTGCACTGTTGCTGTCTGCACACTGTGGGTAATGGAACCAGTAAAGGTTGCCCCAAAGTCATTGAAGTGACAGCACAACTTAATGCACAGCTTTAATTACTTACTATTGAAGTTTAAACAGAAGCAAAATCAACAGGCTGTCAATGCCTTGTAATTTCTGGGAGCTATCCAGATTATTTTTCTTTCTGAAACCATTTATATTTAATTATACTATGTTGGTACTTCATCTTTTATTTGATGATCTGGTTAGATTATATGTGTGAAGATTGTATTTGCCCTGGAACACTACCCTGAGATTCCAACTTGCTATTTAGTTTGGGGCCAGTCCTTGTGTAACAAATACAGAAATTTAAATCAGTAGAGCTGGCAGCATCTGTGGACGGAGAAACCGAGTTAACGTTTCCAGTCCAATGTAGAAACGTAGAAGATAGGAACAATCCACTATTCTGGCCCTTCAGTCTGCTCCACCATTCAGTATGATCATGGCTGATCATTCTACTCAGTATCCTGTCCCTGCTGTCACCCCATATCCTTTAACTCCTTTAGAATTAGAATTAGCTTTTATTGTCATACATATTCAAGTACAGGAGTACAGTGAAAAGTTTATTATGTTTCCATTCTCCAGTGCCATTTCTGGTACAATTAGAAAAATAAAGAAACAAATTAAAAAGTTCAACGTTACAGTACTTCTTAGTAAAAAGTAGCAAAATAAAGAAACTGAGTTAAAGTGTGAACATTACAGTCCTTTTTAAGCCATGCGCCTGCAGACGCTCCAAGACGCCTTCCTAATGAGGACATGCTTTCCCCAGCTCTATGTCCCACATACGCTCACCAGCCACTTTGCTGACAACCACCACTTCATTGCCCACCACCATCCGCGCTCACGGTGACCATTAAAGACCCACTCTGGGCTCCTAGCCACTGCCACGTTCTGTCATTGCCTCTGCCTCCGTGACCCAGCTCTCTCCAGAAGATAATTTAAAAAAAACTAAAAAAAAAACTAAAAGAACGAGAAAAGAAGAAGAAAAAAATGAAAAGCAGATGGAATGGGCAAGACCCGGGCTCGGGAGCCCTGACACTGCCTACTTTGCTGCTACTATCTAAGAACATTGAAAACATTAAACGCTTTGGCCTCAGCCACTTTCTGCTATAGAGAATTCCACAGGGTCATCACTCAACACTTTGTCAGACAGAGGGATCTAGGGGTCCAGGTGCACAGTTGCTTGAAAGTGGTGTCACAGGTAAATAGGGTGGTAAAGAAGGCATTTGGCATGCTTGCCTTCATTGGTCACAGCATTATCTGCAGAATTGGGACTTCGTGTTACAGTTGTACAAGACATTGGTAAGGCCACATTTGGAATACTGCACACACTTCTAGTCGCCCTGCTATAGGAAGGAGGTTATTAAATTGAAAAGAGTGCAAAAAATATTTACAAGCACGTTACTGAGACTGGAGGGTTTAAGTTATAAGGAGAGGCTGTCTTAGGCTGGAACTTTTCTCCCTGGAGCATCAGAGGCTAAGGGGTGACCTTATAGAGGTTTATAAAATCATGAGTGGCATAGATAAGGAGACTAGTCATAGTCTTTTTTCAAGGGTAGGAGAGTCCAAAACCAGAGAGTGCAGGTTTAAGGTGATGGGGAAAGATTTAAAAGGAACCTGAGGGGCAATGTTTTCACACAGAGGATGGTGTGCATATGGAATGACCTGCCAGAGGAAAATGTTAGAGGTGAGTACAATTCCAACATTTAAAAGACATTTGGACAGATACATGGATAGGAAAGGTTTGGAGGGATATGGACCAAATGTAGGCAAATGGTCCTAGTTCAGTTAAGGAAACCTGGTTGGCACGGAGAAGTTGGGCCAAAGGGCCTGTTTTCAGTGCTGCATAACTCTATGATTCTCTGGGTGAAGAAATTTCTCCTCATCTCAATGCTAAATGGCCTATCCTATATCCTTAGTCTGTGACCTCCATTTCTGGACTTGCCCAACACTGGAAACACCCTTCCTGCATTTGCACTATCTGGTCCTGTTAGAATTTTGTAGGTTTCTATGAGATACCCCCCATTCTTGTAAACTCAATGCCAGCCCTGACTTCCTTGCACTCCCTCCACAGCCAGAACATGCTTCCTCTGGTAAAGAGAACAAAACTACACACAACACTCCAGGTATGGTTTCACCAAGGCCTCAGTACAACTGCCACAGGACATCCCTGATCCTATACTCAAACCGTTTTGTTATGAAGGCCAATATGCCATTTGTCTCCTTCAGCACCTTCACCAAGAAGATAGTGGCACTTGTGCTGGCAGAACTGACAAGGGCATTGACTTTCGTGTTTGAACCCGGGTGGCAACCTTAGACCATGGTCTCATATCATAGTCTCCACTGCTGGTCCTGATGGGGAAGAGGAAACCCTGTCCAGCAAGAACTTCAGGTCTTTGTTCCCAATGTGGGATGCTGATTTCTGGATTTACAAATGGCAGAAACAGTGCGGGGCAGCTCTGGATTGATAGTGGTTATCCAGATGCACAACAACATGCTTTTAAAGATGGTGGTGGCACAAGGGATGCTGGTTCATTCCATGGCACATTGATAAGATGGTGCCGAAATTAGACATGAGTGACGTCAAAGGGGTGGATTAGGTGGTCAATGAGACGCGTTCGGTAAGACGCAGTGAAAAAACTCACTCGGCCTCTTGGCAAAAAAAAACTTGCCAAGAAGTTCAACCCAACTTTCACTTAACCAAAAAATAAAGATTCAGTCCATAGATGAATGCACCTTCAGAAAGGTCAGCCAAATGTAAGACATCATAGTTACAATTTACCATAAACTACCAACATAGAAGGAAATGCTTTCACATGTACAAAATATATGCATGAGAATAGAATTATCACAACAGCTCAGTAATATCTCACATATAAGACAAATAAAGCAAGTACAAGCCTACAGTTACAAAATTAGATTGATGAGCAGCATTATCGAATAAAACTGTTCATCCATTAAGGAAGCATTTCAAAAGTGCATACACCATCATTTCACAAATTGATTTTTATTAATTTAAACACACAATTCATGAGAAAGGTCTGTACAGATATTTTGCAGATACAACACACTTTTTTCTTGTAGTGAGGCGCAGGTGATCTGTTGGTTTCCAGTCATTCTGATTGAAAAAACAAAATCATAGTCCACAGTTTTTTTTTATTCTTGATATTTTTCTGCAAATGTTTAATTCCCGAGTAGTTAAAACAGTTCACCATAATCTTTCCAGCAGCTGTATCCATCTAAGAAATCCCCTCCTGAAGAGGTAGAATTTTTTTCGTACTTACAAACAATTTCTTGCAGTTGCTGTAATGGATATCTGTGTGGAACTTTATGAAGAAATAAGACTATTAAGTACCTGAGGTATAAAACATCAGAACCAAAGTTCCTTTTGCAGTGATCACAGAGAGGGAGAAAGTGTAAATTTCAGGGATTACAATAAAAGTTGCATCTACTGTAAGTAGCCCGAAGAAAAATCTCAGTTGACAGCCAAGTATGTTAATATTTCAGGTGAAAAATGGACAATACCAAAATGGATCAGGTCTAATTGTACAAGCAAAATTCTATAATGTTCTAACAGCTTTTGTTCCAAAAAATCTAAATGTTCCTCTGCTAATGTATTTTCATACAAAAGAATGTAGACACTACAAGGCCGTAAGTTTATAGTAATTTTCATTCCCATTGTTAATAAATGAAAACAACTTTTATAATAAAAATATATACTGTATCATCTACATTATTTGCGTGTGAAGAGAGCAAGGAATTATTTTTGACTTTATTCAACTGGAGTATTTCATTTATTTGTTTGCAGAAAGATGGATACAAGTAATTTGGGGAAATGAGAAAGCTACAGAAAAAGGAGTAAATCTTGACACTTGACATTCAAGCTTTTGGTCTTTACAAAATAATCACAAAAATTCCATTATCTACATATTTACCCAACAAAAAGTTGCACTTTAACACACCAACATTTTGATAAGGCACAGCACTGTTTTATGTGCGCACAATACCCCTCCACACTGACACTTCACAAACAAGGCATTGTTACCTTTCAATTGCATTTGCCTTAACAATATGTAAAAGAATTGCCTGAATACAAATTTACACAAAATGACATTTTCTGTACATGATTGTCTTAGCAAACTGAAGTTATCTTAAATTATAAGAGAACAAATTTTCTGTAAACTACTTCGTGACTTGACAGAATCAAATGTGCTCTTTGTGTCAAATGGCAAAAATTCTAATTTAAGTACCTTCATAAATGATGTTAACATACAACAGTTCATAAATTATAACAGAGAACCCTGGATATCAGTAAAGAAACAAAACATGTCCACAAGTAAAAGATGCTGCCAGCATTTGTCCAACTCAGTTTTCAGTGTAAGTTTTAAATTCCTTAAGGTAAAAATGTATTTTTCTTTAAAGAGGCCTTAGAGTGATGACTGTCAATGCTTAAAGCATTATCCATACCATTTGTTCTGAGGACCATATAATCGGTGAGAGCTAAGCATCTTTTCAGATCCATTTTCTTCAGATTTTCAGATCCATTTTCTTGCAGCACTGCAGTAGCAACAGGGCTGTTGAACATTGTAATGGCTTTTCATTGTATAACCTCCACAGTCTTACGAGCCATCAGCAGCTTTGCCATGGATTAATTTGCCTCCATTTAAAGATTGGTCAAGGGTTAAGACAAATTGCAGCTGTATGTCAACACTTGGGACACATCACACAGTTTGGAGTCAGAAGCTGCCAGAAGACACAGAGATATTGTAGCCTACAAATAGTGAGGGTGGAGAGCTACATTTCAAAGTACTGCTACAAGTACTCCAATTCCAGGGCATGATGTAAGGCCATAAGGTCAGAGTGGCTTGAGATCCTCCAGAAGGGCATGGTGTGCTGTGAACAACACAAACAGGAAATCTGAGAAGACCACATAGCCTTTGCTCTAACTAAACAATTCATTGTTTGAAATGCAAACTCGAAACAGCCCAAAACATCAAAGACTTATATTTTGTTACATAAGTTATTGTTTAATATTTGTAAAAATCTACACTGTATTTTCAACAAAACTGCTTTTGGCTGTTTTTAAAAGAATAATTAAAGTTTTAAAGAAAACTGCTGAAGCAAGGAGTAAGTACACACCATAAGCATCCCTCAACTTTAAAATGTTGGAACATTAAATTATGATTTCCATTTGGCATCATATCCAGTACGCTGAATTAAATTGATACATCTGATGCAGCTGAGGCGTGAATTAACATAGCTCTTTTTAATGTGGTAAAAGCAGCAAGTTATTGAGTGGCATCCCATTTTTGTTCCTGAATATGCTTAGAAAGATCTGTTACAATGATTGAAATTTACTGTAGGAAGAGTCTGCCTCATTAAGCAAAGATATTTATGCCAATAGGTTATTACTTGCCACTACTCAGGCATCAGAATGATGACAATCAGCTTCTGTTCACTACAAAAACAAATAGATTCATTGTGGAAATACGACTCGCAGGTGAACTAGAAGGAGACCTTGTCAAAAAATGACTTGAAATGTTTTCCTCAGATCATTACCGTGTCTTATCAAAGGTAAATATTCTCAGAAGGAATGCATTCCGATCCCTAATGCTTGTGCTGACCTTAGTAATGACCTTTTCTTTGTTGTATAAATCCTTTACTGTAGGGGATGATGACTTTATTCACTAGTTACCAACCCAAAAGAGTGCATCTAGGCAAATATTTAGAAATACCCTCATTAGACTTTTGGGACTTTACAAAAAAATACTTACTGCTTTCGGACTGTCAATTTGTTAAGATTTCTTTCACCCTTTCTGAAGGAGGTGGTATGACCTTGGAGGAAGTTTAGCAAAGTGAGATGCATTGCAAGTTAATATGCTCCTCAGGGCTTACCCTGTGGATTGGACATTATCTTGCCACATCATATTCCTACCATCCAATGATTAATGTGTGCTTTTTGCATTTGTCATTGTGTTGCAGATTGTGTTGTTAAAAGACTCACATTTAGGATACCATTATTTTTTAACTTTTACTTTAAGCTATGTCCTCTTTCCTGTAATGGATGAGGTCAGCAGCACAAAGTGTTGAAGGGTATTTCTGCCTTGTAAGATATGGAACTTTTAGCAGCAATTTTTACTGTTCCATCACTTAGGTTCCCACAGAAAGAGCTTGTTGGAACATGCTATTCAATCCCAATGCTGCCTGAAAAGAATCTCTTTGAAAAGTTCGAAATAGAGAATCTGTCTCATTCTTTCACCTAGTAATTTTTGAAGCTTTTCCAATAGTCATGACCTTTAACTGTAGTTTGAATTAAGAAAAGTCCCCTATTAGGTCAGGTCCCTGCCTGCTCCTTAATTAGTGTTCTAAGTGATGTGGTTCTCATCAGGGAATTTAGTTGACATCAAAAGTCTGTAAAAGCTGAATTGCCATTATTTTTTTTGGGCACACATACAACAACTTCTTAATTTCAACAACAAAGAAACATGCGCTTTTAAGAAAATTCAAAACACAGAATGATTGAAAGAAAAGCCAGCTGACAGCTGGAATGCCTTTTATTGCAAATCATGCACAAAAATTCCTTAATTTCAACTGAAATGCAGATGTACTTTGAATGCTTTTCTCATTCAGAATTAGGTATGCCCAAAATAATTCAATGTTTTTCTTGCAGATGCAAAACTCAGATTCCTGCTGTAACTACAGCACTGGATCAGAAATGACATATTGGTGGAGATCTCCACCATCCTCCCACCCCCACTGCACCCTCTTCCCCATCACCTCCACTGGGTGGCAAACCAGTGGGAGCCTCACAGCTCTTATATGTGGAAGACTCAACACAAGTGCATTCAGGCAATTAACTGGCCAGAATTATGACAGTGGGAAGACAGAAATTCCAACAGAGAGCTGATGGCACCATCAAGACTGGTGCCTACTGTCAGTGCTCCTCCAAGCTCCACTCATTGCCTGATGCTGGATCCCTGGAGTCAGGTAAATGAGGCAGCAAGACAGTGATTCATTGGCATTCAGTGGGGACTGGGCTCTGGTGCAATGGCATTGAGTTGGCACCTCAGCACGTTCCCACTGCCAGATCTCTTGATTGGACACCAAATGCCTGTAAGCTTTACTGCCCGGTCTTTGGGAGCCTCAGAAAATGCTGGCGAGTCCCATTAAACCCCCGAGCTGAGCCGCTGCTCAATTCGGGTTAGCTCAGGGATAATTGACCTGAAATGGCTCATTTATGAATCTAACTGGCATTCTGCCATGTTGAGACCTTCCTGCCTCAACTGCCTGATTCTCCTAACTGTCCACCCCATCATCATGTCTGAAAGGCAGGCTTTCCTGGATTCAGCTCACTGTGTGATTGTGAGCATGATAAAACTACCCCCTGCCCTCTGTGACTCCCTCACCCTCCTTAACCTGTCATCAAGCATTGGCATGACTGACTGCCCCACTCTCCTTTATTACCCAGCTGGCTATGGTGACCATTACCTTGTTCCATTCTAATCTACCTGGGATCTTCCAAACTGCTGCCATTTAGAAGGCCAAGGGCAGCAGATACATGGGAAAACCATTGTAGATTCATAGAATCCCTATTGTGCAGAAAGAGGCCATTCAGACAATCAAGTGCACACCAATCCTCTGAAGAGCATCCCACCCAGACCCAGACTCCTACCCCGTCCTCTTAACCCTGCATTTCCCATGGGCAATCCACCAAGCTTATACATCCCTGGACACTATGGACAATTTTGCATGGCCAATCCACAAAACCTATACATCCCCGGACATGATGGGCAGTTTAGCATGGCCAATCTGCCTAACCTGCACATTGTTTGGACTGTGGGAGGAAACCGGAGTACCCAATGGAAACCCACGTAGATACGTGAAGAATGCGCAAACTCCACACGACAGACTCAAGGCTGTAATCAAATCCATGTCCCTGACGCTGTGATGCAGAATTGCTAACCACTGAGCCACTATGTTGCCTGCATGTTCCCCTCCAAGCCACACACCATCCTGGCTTGGAGATATGTCACCATTCCTTCACTGTCACTAGGTCAAAATCCTGGATCCCTTCCTAACAGGATGTTCAAGGACCACAGTGATTCAAGACCGTAGCTCACCACCAGCTTCTCCAGGGCAACTAAAGACATGCAATAAATACTGACCTCCCCAGCAATGCAATGAATGAATAAAAAAGTTGCTCCTTGGCACCAGCATCTGAAAACCATATGATAGTGTCACAGTGGATCTTGCTTTTGGCACTATGTAGTATTATCCCTTTCAGACCCATGTACTATAATTAACAAATGGAAATCTTATTCCAGATGCAAAATGCCCTAAATTCTCTTTCCATACCAGTCTTAAACTGATGAAGGGTCTAGGCCCGAAACGTCAGCCTTTCTGCTCCTATGATGCTGCTTGGCCTGCTGTGTTCATCCAGCTCTGCACCTTGTTGTCTTGTATCTTTTCAGTTAGTTTTATCCTCATAATGAGTGCTGTTCTCGAACTACGGCCTAATTAAAGTCTTAAATTCAACTAATTAAATTCAACATACTGCCTGTTATGTGTTAAATATACAAGTTAATATAATAGATACTAAACTAAAAGTTCTACCTTTTTTGTGGCCTTATCCACTTGCATGTCCGAGCTTACTTATCTGTGAAGCTTAAAACAAAAGATCCTCTGCTCCTTTATTTTGTTTAAGATTGTGCTATCTACTAACCTATATTGTGTCTCCTTTCCATACATTGAACCATAGCTTCCACTTATTTATCCATTTCACCAACCTATGTATGACCTTCTGAAATCTTACAGAGCTACAGTCACAACTGCCAGATCACCAAATCAGTGCCTTTAGTCAATTTTAATACTTTCTCCTGAACTCCTAAAGCCAGCTCCTTTATTCAATAGGAAAAAGCAATATGGATGCAATATAGATCCCTACAGAATTCCATTTTTTTGAACTTTTCAGTCTGAAAAAGCATGATTTCACTGTTTATTGTAGAACATAGTTTCCTTATGTGAGGTAGTTGTATTGGAGGCAGTTGAGGGGAGGTTCACTAAATTGATTCTAGAGATGAGGGGTTTGTCTTATGAAGAGACATTGAACAGTGTAGGCTGATACCCTCTTGAGTTTGGAAAAGAAGAAATCTAACTGAGGTATATCAGATACTAAAGGGCATTGACAAAGTAGACATAGATAGGATGTTTCCTCACGTATGGTAATCTAGAATGAGTCGTCATGGTTTTAGACCAAGCAGTGGCAGATTTAAAACAGAGAGGAAGAGAAATGACTTCTGTCAAAGGGTCGTGAATCTGTCAAATTCATTCCCCAAATTGCAGTGGATGCTGGGGCATGGAGTAAATTTAAGGAGGAGATGGACAAATGTTTAATTAGTAATGGGTTGGAGAGTTATGGAAAGTGGGCAGTAAAGTGGAGTTGAGGCAGAAATGAGATCTGACACAATTGTATCAAATGGTGGAGCAGGCTTGAGAGGCTGAATTGCTCACTCCTGTTCCTAGTTCTTATGAAGACTAGTTACTTGAGCAATGAGTGAAGGGCTTATTTCTGGAGTAATATTGTTATTTATTATGATTGAAAATTGTTCCAGATTTTGATGGTTGCTACCTGCAGTCTTTGAGATGTTTAAAGTGATTGCATTCCCCATCTGAACAGCCTTGCACAGTGCAACATAGATGCATACAACGTGGAAGAAGTTTCCTTTTGTTTAATGGACCTCACTTAAGAAATGCATGCACAAGTATTGCTTAATAAAGACAGTGCTACAATCTCAGATGATTTACCTTTTTAGATGCTTGTTCTTCTTCCACACCGTCTCCCACAACAACATACACTACTTTTCTGCCAAACCTTTGAATTATACGTTCAAAGCAGCTTTCTTTCCCTAAAGTAAAAATTGTAAATTGTTAACTTGAAATAACACATTATTTTACTGTTACGCCAAAGTTAAACATTTTGCTTAAGTGCAGCATTGTGGTGCAGCAGGTTGAAACTTATTGGTCACTGCATGGAGTATAGGAGTCAGGACGTCATCTTGTGACTGTACAGGACATTGGTTAGGCCACTTTTAGAATACTGCATTCAATTCTGCTCTCCCTACTATAGCAAAGATGCTGTCAAACTTGAAAGGGCACAGGTAAGATTCACAAGGATGTTGCTGGGGTTGGACGGTTTGATCTATAGGGAGATGCTGCATAGACTGGGGCTTTTCTCCCTGGAGCGTTGGAGAGATTTATAACATTATGAGGGACATAGATAGGGTGAATACCCAGAGTAGGAGAGTCCACAACTAGAGGGCATAGTTTTAGGGTGAGAGGGGAAAGACTTAAAAGGGATCTAAGGGGCAATATTTACATGCAGAGGGTGGTGTGTGTATGGAATGAATTGTTTGGGGAAGTGTTAGAAGCAGATATAATTACAACATTTAAAAAGCATCTGGATGGGTATATGAATAGAAAGGGTTTAAAGGGATATGGGCCAAATGCTGGCAAATAGGACTAGATTAATTTAGGATATCTGGTCAGCATCTGGTCTGGAGGAGGTTGACCGAAGGGTCTGTTTCTGTGCTGTATAACTCTATGACTCTATAGTGAAAGTACAAGCTTTTTGTTTGGAATTACTTGCATGAACTACCAATATCAGCTCTGCCATTAAAGGACATTGAGAGGGAGAGAAAGTGCGCCATACAGCAGCATCGACAATCACGTGGAAGCAAGTCAGTGTCTCTTTAGCTGGGAACAGTTGATGATATCGGGCAGCAAAGGAAGTGGATAAAAATGGGTATCTTTTCAAACAAACCAAAAATTTTATAAGCAGTGTCACATTGAGTAAAATTATTAACAATGTGTATTGTCATGAAATGATTACCTCAATTTAATATCTAAAGAGAAATGCAAGTCACACTATACAATTCATGTAGCAGGAAGTAAAAGTTAATGGGTAATTCTGTCTTTGCGTTTTATGGTTTACATCAATGGTTTAGCCTACGATTCAGAAATTTCGAGCCGCTGCAAGAATAGATCTCCACTAATATTTTTGGCTGACAGTGAGGGGGAAGGAAACAGATTGCACGAAGATATCAAAGGACTGCTTAACTGGGCAGAAAAACTGCGAAGTGGTGCAGGTATAGAAAGTACTGTGTCAAAAAGTGGGAGAGGCAGACATTTACATCACATTTAAAAATTATTTGTATATGCCTTGAAGGGTTGTATCATACAATGCTACATACAATCCAAGAGTTGGATAGTAGAATTAGTCTGGGTAGCTTTTTCTCAGTTGACACAGGCACGGTGACCCAAATAAACTCTTGTCCTGTCATTCATCTCGTAGGAAAGCTTTCCTTCCAAATATTGCCAGAGTTTTACACTCATATGTTTATAATCATATCTTTAACGGGGAAATAAGGTTCATAGATGAATTTTGAGAAGTGCCAGATATACTTAGACTAGAGATGAAGTGAAATACATAAGTTATTTGTGCTTTGGTATTCTGATTTTACTCACCTATTTTGGTTGCACTATATATGTTTTCAATTGGAAAAACAATTCCTAATCCATACAGCAAGACTTTGGCAAGAGCAGGTATCAATTGTGTTGTGGTTACTAAAATATTTATACAGTTTGACCTGAAAGACATCATATTGTTGGCATTACTACAAGTTATATTCCAAAGTTGGTGAAAGAATCAGTTATAAAATCGAGTCAAACAAGTTCTGCAATTTTGTTAGCATCTAAAAACCATAAATTGTGTTATTAAAGTACACTTCTTTATATAAATTTACATTTTGCTGTATTATTATAACAAAAATTTGCAAAAACAAAGGGTAATGTACTCACACTTGCATAACCATTATGCAATCATAACTGTACTAGAAGAATGAAGTAAAAAGTGAATGTAAGATTTGATTTGAAGGGTTAGGGGTTCAATATAATATCCAGCACCCTACGATTGAGGTGGGGAGTGGGGTTAGTGAGGTAATAATTTGTCTTGCTCCTTGTATGTCTTGCTTTGTCTAAGCATCCTATGATCTGTATGTCCTTGTTTGCTATGATCTGCCTGTACTGATTGTCAAACAAAACTTTTCACTGTACTTAGGTACACGTGACAACAATAAACCAAATCAAATCAAATTTAGGGGTAAAGGCTTGGTAGCATGAACCACAGCCCCTCCCCCCTGCACCCAATTCCCCTTACTCACATAGTTTAAAACATCCACTAAGGGTGAAACCCTTAAACCTTCTGAAGCTATTTTCTTTCTCATCCTTTCCTGAGGTTTGCTCTGTATCACAGTTCTCTATTTAAGAAGGCAATTGTCAATCTGCTACTACAATGTTGCTAAAGTTGGAGCAAAAATCTGTGATTTGCAAATGGAGGATCCACAAACTGTGATAGATATTATGTTCTTAATTTTCCCACCGTCAATGTTTTGAAATTATGGGTGTGGGTGATATTTCCCTATACTGTAGCACGGCCGAGAAGGACATTTGAGCACGTGCAGGATTGTGTTTGTGAGTCTAGCTTCTGAAACACTGGAAGGAATATTTAATTTGGCCTGTCATAAATGTTCAACTGAAGTCAAAGGAAATGAAAATGGAGCAGGGTGTATAGGTGGCTGGAGAACATGACTGGCAGGAAGGATATACAGTATTTGACTGAGTTGCACAACAGGTAGGTGCTGCATATAATGGGCACCGGATCCAATATTGCCAGCTGTGCACCTTCACCAACATTAAACACCACCACCCCCCCCACCGGCATAGCATTATCATCACATGGCAATAACTTGGAACAGGTCCATGCGGATGACGATCTTCAGCGCATTTAGTGCGGCTGCTCCCCATGTTCCCTCAGTTCCAAAGAATGACAAGAACAGTTGAGATCCTTTTTGAAACCCATTACAATTTGGATGAGCATTTGAAATGCTATACCATACAAGGCTATGGGCTAAGTGATGGAAATGGGATTAGAATAAACAGGTGCTCGACGACTGGCACAGACAGGATGGGCTGAAGGGCCTTTATCTGTGCTGTGAAATTTCTACTTCTTGTTTCCCCACCCGAGCAAGCAAACATCTCGTTACCTTTCCAACATAAAACGTTTCTCCTTAATTTCCTACATTATTCAGTTATGATCAGTTCGTAAAAAATGAACCTTAATGTTTAAATTCCATTTGTGACAGAAGAGCTTACTGATCCAATTTGTTCAAGCCATACATAATATCTTCTATCATTGCATTTGATAGATCAGAAGGGAACAATTCACTGTCTTAGTATTCTCTAGACAAAAGAAAATCCAGGATAGTCAATCTTTCCGTACATATGGAACCATAAAATGTTTTTATCCCTAAACCACCCCGTTTCCATTCATTTTACAACACACACAAATATCCGCAAAAATAAGAAAATAATATATTCATGCTTCATGTTTTGCTTTCTTTACCTGTTACTTTTCAATGTTTCTTTCATAGGAGCCAATTTTTTTCATGCCTATGTATTTTGTTATAAACCATTTTCATTGTGTAATAACTTTGATGTGCTGGAAACTGTAAGTTCAGATTGCCCCTCACCTTGAATGAATGAGTGTGAGGACTTTCAGTGCAAGTGTTAGCCATGAATCTGTTAGAGCTTCAATTTCTGCTCGCAACTGCAACCATGATTCCCTTTTATTTGGACCAAGGAGACCTGAGATGTTGAAAATAATTATTCTGAGTTAAAGATTCATTTGCTATTTATATCAAATTTTTTAACAATGCGGTTGACTGTTAACTGACCTCTGAAATGCCTAGCAAGTCACTCAGTTCAAGGGCAATTAAGGATGGGCAACAAACAATGCCCACACCCATTGGAAGAATAACAACAAAATTCAATATTTAATAAGATCTATACAAAACTATGCAATTTTGTTACAAAACATCTTTAAGAGAATGGTCCATATTACCAAATGGCACACTTAAATATTACATAAAGTCATAAAAGTTAAAATCTAGTTATTTTCAAAATGTTCTGTTTCTTTTATTTCACATTTTGATTTTTGTTTCTCTCTGTGTGTCATGAAGCCATATTCAGCCAGCAGGGTTGGATAACATACCCACTTGATTAACCAATGAAGCCCTGTTAGAATCATGTTTCTTTTGGGGGTTACTTTTGCAAAATACCAACTGGAAACATGAGTCAAATAGGGTTAGTGGGGAAATTGAATTCCACTGGAAAGTTAGCTTCTTTTGACATGCAAATATGCAATTCATTAATGTGCTCCAAATTCCAGTTTATTTGAGAACTGATAGATTTCAAACAAAATATACAAACTTGACCAAGAGAAAACCCTCATACACAAATATTTTGGTTGGATTTCTTTTATTTAAAGAAGACGTCGAATATTATGCCAAATCGGCTGCAAATGCAGATCCTGTTGTTTAGCACAAACCTAATTAAACCCAGTAAGTCTACACTGAAGATTTGAATAGTCACATATCATGATTATAAAATACATATACATGTTTACAATTGGCAAAGATTTAAATATTCCAACGCTACCCTATTAACAAAAGAAAAATGATGTGTTTTACTCCAAACAGATAAATTACATGAAAAGAATACTGAATTTAAATGTTGACTTTTAAAATTCTGTCTAAATCATTATTTTTAGCAGGTTTCAAGAATCGGATATATCAGAACAACTGCCATCAATCTAATGATTAGTCAAAACAGTATTCACAAATTACTAAGAAAATATCTGTTTGCTCTTGTCCTTGTTACTTACCAAATGATTTAATTTATAGAGTCATAGAGTCACTCAGCATGGAAACGGACTCTTTGGTCCAACCAGTCCATGGCGACCATGTTCCCAAACTAAACTAGTCCCACCTGCATTTGGCCTATATCCTCCCAAACATTTTCTATTCATGAACTTATCCAAATGTCTTTTAAATATTGTAGCTGTACCTGCATCCATCACTTTCTCTGGCATTTCATTCCACACACAAACCACTTTCTGTGTAAAGAAGTTGCCCCTCACGTCCTTTTCAAATCTTTCTCCTCTTACCTTAAAAATATGGCCCCTAGTTTTTAACTTCCCCACCCTAGGGAAAATACCTTTGTAATTCATCTTATCTATGCCCTCTCATGATTTTATAAACCTCTATAAGATCATCCCTCAACCTCCTACACTCCAGTGAAAAAAGTCCCAGCCTTTCCAGTCTATTTCTTTATCTCAAACCCTCCATTTCCAGCCACATCCTGGTAAATCTTTTCCAAACCCTCTCTAGTTTAATAATATTCTTCCTATAACAGGGCGACTAGAACTGCACACAGTACACCAGAAGAGGTCTCACCAATGCCCTGTACAACCTGAAAATAATGTCACAACTCTAATACTGCAAGATCTAAGCAATAAAGGCAAATGTGCTAAACACCTTCTTATGCACCCTATCGATATATGATGCCAACTTCAAAGAATTATGTACCTGAAGCTCTAGGTCTCTCTGTTCTACAACAATATCCAGGACCCCACCATTAACTATATAAGTCTTGCTTCTGTTTGTTTTACCAAAATCAATACCAAATTAACCTCCATCTACCACTCCTCAACCCATTGAGCCAATTGATCGAGATCTCTTAGCAATCTTAGATAACCTCTTCACTGTCCACTATACCACCAATTTTGATGTCATCATCAAACTTACTAACCATGCCTTCTATATTCTCATTGAAATCATTTATTTAAATGAAAAACAAAAGTGGACGCAGTACTGACCCTTGGGGAACATCACTGGTCACAGGCCTTCAGTCTGAAAAACAACCCTCCATCGCCACATTCTGTCTCCAACCATCCAGCCGATTTTGTATCCAATTGGCCAGCTCACCCTGAATCCCATGTGATCTAACTTTACTAATTCATTTACCATGCAGAACCTTGTCAAAGGCTTTACTAAAGTCCATGTAAACAATGTCTACCGCTCTGCCCTCATTAATCTTTTTGGTTACTTCATTAAAAAAATTCAAACAAGTTTGTGAGACATGTTTTTCCTCACACAAAACCAATCCTTGCCTCTCGAAATGCATGTAAATCCTACCTTTCAGAATAGCCTCCAACAACTTAACCCACCACCAGTGTCAGACTCAGAGACTAGTGTCAGACTAGTTTCCAGGCTTCTCCTCACAACCTTTCTTAAACACTGACACAACATTAGCCACCCTTCAGTCCTCTGGTACTTCACCCGTGGTTATATATATTTATTGCAGTAAATCTTTATATATCTTTATATAAATCTCCAACTACATCACAAAAGAAGATTAGAATACTTGCCTCCAACATTATTTTTGTAGGTGTTATATATTTCTTTTACTCGTCGATAGCGGAAAGCTAACTTCCGCATCCAATCAACTCCGCCACGCACACCAGTTGCTAGGCAAAGATTTGCACTAGTTGCTGCAGCATGAAAGCCATCTGTAGCAAAGTTATAAGTGCTGTATAAATGGACACAAATTATACAACTGTCAGTGGATAACAAACACATTGATGTTTCATACAACATCCTGTCTTATCCAATTTCCCCTTCCCTGGAGCGGCATGGGTACTGGTGAGAAAGTTGCGAAAATGTAGCCAGAATGAAAAAAATTGGAAGCCTGATGTTGAGGAAAATGTTCCCAATTTTCTCTTTGAACTTTAAACTGTTACTTCAGATCCCAATTGAGCGGTGACTACCTTACTTACAGCACTGGAATCTTGTTAAATGACTTGGCCTCCACAGCCTTCTGCAGCAATGAGTTCCACAGATTCACCACTATTACATAGAAAAACATTCCTCCTCATGTCAGTTCCAAAGGGTCAACCCTTCACTCTGAGGTTGTGCCCTTGGGAAACATCTTCTCCGTGTCCACTCTATCCAGGCCTCTCAGTATTCTGTAACTTTCAATCACATCACCCCCTTATCCTTCTAAATTCGATCAAGTACGGGAAGCTTATCAGACACAAATCCATAGTGTCCTGGGGAAACCAGGCAATTCAAATCTGGTTCCAAAGAAGAGTCACTGGACTTCTAAAGTTAGCTCTGTTTTTCTCTCTCCACTGACCTTGGCAGACCTGCTGATTTTCTCCGGTACTTTCTGTTTTTATTTCAGATTTCTAGCATCTGCAGTATTTTGCTTTTAACTCAAGGCCAGGGATTGATTTCATTGCCCTGGGGCAATGATGGAGTGATCACAGTGAAAGGGAACAATTTCAGATTGAAGGGTCAGATCACATCTTGGGCACGAAGGGGAAGAGGATTTCTCACAGGTCAAAATCACTCTGCCTCTACATTCAGAGGGTGTAGGGTCAACGTGGGTATATGCAAAACCATGGGTTTTGGGAGTACATTGTAGGCATTAATAATTATGGAAATGGGAGGGAGGCTGAAATATCATGGGGGCTGTGGGGACGGCAATACGAAAGAGAGGGTGAAAGATGGCGGGTGGTGTAGGGGCAGGGTTTATCTTGCACCTCAAGCAGAGCCTACATGTCACTCACAAGAAAAAGAAGTTGAAACCTTGCCATCATGGCAACAATTGAACAAATTGCCAATGTGTGCAGAATGGGTGGAGCAAGTTACTGCTCTTTCCTGCAGAGGCATAACCTTTGATTCCTTATGAATCAAGAACCTATCTATCTCTGTCTTAAATGCACTCAATGACTTGGCCTCCACAGCCTTCTGTGGCAATGAGTTCCACAGATTCACCACCATTACATAGAAAAACATTCCTCCTCATGTCAGTTCTAAAGGGTCAACCCTTCACTCTGAGGCTGTGTCCTTGGGTCCCAGTCTCTCCTACTAGTGGAAACATCATCTCCATATCCAGTCTACCGGGCCTCTCAGTATTATCCCCTCATCCTTCTAAACTCCATCAAGTACAGACCCAGAGTCAACCATTTCATATAACAAGCCCTTCATTCCTGGGATCATTCTTGTAAACCTCCTCTGGGCTCCCTCCAACACCAGCACATCCCTCCTCAGATACAGGGCACAAAACTCCTTACACAAATGCGGTCTGACTGCAAACTTATATAGCTCCAGCAGTACATCTTTGCTCTTGTATTCCAGCCCTCTTGAAATGCATGCTAACATTACAGTCGGCTTCCTAAGTGCCAATTGAACCTGCACATTAGCCTGAAGAGAATCCTGAACTGGGGCTCCTAAATCCTGGTTGGATATTGAGGTCTCCCTGTCCCGACATGAACGATCGAACTTCTCCAACTAACATGCAAATTTTCTCTTCCTGTGAAATGAGGTGCAATCCACCAACACCCCCTTCAGCCCCTTCTCTCAAGCTCTTACACACCTTGGCCCTCTCAGTCTGACTTGGGGCTAATGCTTCCTGCGATGCAACAGATGCTAGTGGAGATATATGAGCAAGAGAGGTGATGAGTTATCCCCTGTGACTGTGTAGGATGTGTAGAGGGCAGGAAGAGGCCATTCAGCCCTTCTAGTTCCAACACTTAATGAGATTATGGCTGATCTGTGGCCGAATTCCACATACATGCCTTGGCCCATATCCCTTAATATTTTCGTTTTGCAACAATGTGTCTATCTCAGATTTAACCTTAACAACCAATCCAGCATCAACTGCCATTTGTGGAAGAGAGTTCCAAACATCTACCACTATTTGTGTGCGAAAATGTGTCCTATCGTCTCTCCTGAATGGTCTGGCCCTAGTTCTAGAATCCCTAACCTTTATCTACTCTGTCTTTTCCTGCTCATGTCTTGAGGGTGATTACATTGAAGAGAGTGCAGAGGAGATTCACCAGGATGTTGCCGGGGATGGAAAGTCTCATTATGAGGAGAGACTGGATAGGCTCGGATTGCTTTCACTGGAGCAGAGGAGGCTGAGGGTGGGGGCGCTGTGATTGGGTTATATAATATTATGAGAGGTGTAGACAGAGTAGATCATGAGAATTCTTTCCCCTTGATAGACATGTCTAAGACCAAAGGGCATAAGTTTAAGGTAAGGAGCAAGCACTTTAGAACGGATCTGAGAAAAGAATCTTTCACTCAGAGGGTGAGAGATAGTAGGAACTGC